CAGGCTCCCTCCAACAATGTTCAATTACTATAGTAATGAGAAATGTTATCAGATTATCATACCTTAACTGGTCTAATGTTCTTTCTTGCTATGTAACTTACACACATCTTCGTGCTTCGGCTTGTCCATAGACAGTTGTCAAAGCTAACGTTAGCTAGTTAGCCTTAGCTAGCCAGTTTCGCCTTAACTAGGCGGCACAGAACAAGGCCTGACAAACGTAAGATTTGAGTTTATAGCAACAAACAACATATAAAACCCATAGACTACATCAGCCTTTTTTCAAAGGGCTGGTTTCGCTTTGGCGCCAGTGTGTGCTAACGTTGCACAAAAACATTTGTAAATTACCATATCAAATGCAGTTATTTCCTCTTCTCTTTCTCGTCACAGGGGAAGCGGTAAAATGACAGTTTAACAGGGGTGGCTGGCCAATAGAGGGCGCTAGGGCGTTTTTTAATTTTTTTGTTTTTCTACACATCCCCTTCCTGTGTGCCTTCTCATTAGCTCTGGGGCGCTGGAGAAATCGCCCCAGGAAGGAGGGTAGGTGGAGCAGCTTAGCCAATCACTGATTTAAGATATAAATGTTTGACATAAACTGTAGCCAGTGTTTGAGGCTTCTCATGTAGCTGGTATACTAGAAAGGCCTGGCTGGCTGGATGTGGTAATGCTAATGCCTTATTTTTCTTTCCGTGCTTACTTTTTAAAACTACGGGGACAGATCCAGCATGGAGATTTACCGGAGTGAGGGATATGAAGCACCTGTCTGAGAAAGTAACAAAACACGAGAATACCAAGGTACACATGGATAATTCCGTTAAGCTAGCTATACTGGGAAGAGTTAACATCGCTACGCAGCTTGACGAAGGCCACAGGGTTGCGGTGAGGAAACACAACGAGGAGGTGGATAAAATCCGGCACATCTTATCCAAAATAATCAACTGTGTGAAGTTTTGTGGGGCTTTTGAGCTGGCCTTGCGTGGGCATGACGAGACTGACACCTCGAACAATCCCGCCAGCCCCTGAGGAACTCTCTGCACTCTAGGCCACATTTACACATAGCTGGGTATTTAGAGAAACGAATATTTCCTCCCCTCCGTTTTCAATAATAACATCGTGCACCAAACATCGTTTACAAAAAAGTTGACATTTACATCAACCCGCATAAATACGCCGTCGAGCGCCATCATAACTATGCCAAACATGACGTTAAGCATTTTCTGGCGCATAATGTGACGTTTGAGAACCTAAAACCCCGTTTCTCCCAGTTGACACGACAAGTTCGACAAGACAAAACCGGCGTTATCGAAATCTCCACTTTGGCTGGAGTTTTTAGAAATAATCTTTTTCTGTGATAAAAACGGGGTTTTCATATAAATGAGAGGGCAAACCGCAGGGAAATATCTGCGTCTTTCCATCGTGTAAACTGGGTACTAGTGTTGATGCCCTCTCTGCAACAGTTAAATATAATTAATTGTGTAATTTACAAATCTTTAAAGAATGGGTAATGCTATAAAATTTTAAGTTTTAGCTTAAAGGTTTACCCAAAAATGTCATCATTCAACACCCCCGGTGTTGTTCTAATGATGAAAAATGCTGCCTATTAGATTGCGCTACCAACACTATAATTACATTGAAGGTAAAAATATTTTATTTTATGATGGAGCGCATGTTTTCCCCAACCAGGGCTGCGTTTCCCAAAAGCATCATAAGCCTAAGTAGATTGTAGACCATTGGTGCCAGTAGTATACGATCTATAGGCCAATGATGCTTTTGGAAAAGGCAGCCAAGATCACTCATCTTTACGAAACTGAGCCACGGAATAATAATAAAAAAACTGTGCTCATAATTTAAAGAGATCCACACACAAGGTGTCACGGTTCATAAATCCTATGTCTCCTTCTTGTCTCGTGTTTCTGTTGTTGTGTGTGTGTGTGTGTGCTGATTATGTGGGCATGCCGGCTCATCAGCGCTCATCAGCAATCAACTCATCACTCCCGTCACCAGCTGCAGCTCATCTCATCATATATATATATACTCATCACTTTCTCATCTCCTTTGTCAGATCGTTGTTTGTGGTTTCCCGGTGTGTGTTCCAGTCAGCGTCTCGAGTCTTGTGCATTCCTTGTTCCTGTTGATTTACTTTGGATTCGTCTCATCTCTGCACTCTCTGCACTGGGTTCATCTGGGTTCCCTGCGCCACTGAGCTGTCTTCTCTGGACTACTACCAATTACTTTGTCAATATTACAATAAAGAGTTTTACTTGCACTTTGCTTCCTTCTCTCAATCTTGACACAAGGACCATCAGGTACATCGAGCTGCAATGAACTAGTCCATATACACTTGCTGTATCACAGAGTAGCCTAAATTGAGATCAATTTAGATTGAGAGCCTAAATATTTTGTGATACATTTATAATTATTCCCTGTCTCCAGTTCACACTCTTCACTCACAGCCATACTTTTGAAGATGAAACGTCACATATAGCGCGTTGCGTTGTGGGAAACATTATCCCACGCAGTGTCCTCAGATGCAGACATCAGATTTCAGCAAATGTAGTTGGTAATCCGAGAACTCTATGCATACAGAAAATGTACATACTATTTACAGTATACATATTGCATACCACAAATATAGTAGGAGTTGTATAGTACGATGCCATTCTGAACACAACTTCACTACTCATCTCAATGTACTTCGGTTGTATTAAGCAGATTCTGGCAAAAGTAGTAGGGCTTCCGAGGATATTTGCATACTATGCACAGTATTCATACTAGGTACTACAGAAATAGTATGAGTAGTGTGATAATAGGCCATTTCGAACACACCGATGGTCTTACTAGTCATACTAATAACTTCCAGGCAGGTGTGTTGAGGCAATTTGAAGCTATACTCTGAAGGACAGTGGCACTTCAGGACCGAGTTTGGACACCCCTGCTTTATTGTTTTGGTCTGACTCAGCCCTGAAGTCACTTTTCCTTCTTAGTTGTGTTATGATTTTGAATAATAATAATAAAAACAGAAATGGTGGTAAAGGATTCAGATCTCTTTATTATAATAATAATACATTTTATTTAAAGGAGCCTTTCTCTGCACTCAAGGATGCCGTACAGGGATACATAAGACATTTAAAAGCACCAGAAATAAATAAACAACAGCAGAAAGAGGCAGGAGTGGTAAGTGGTAAGACAGGTGTATGGAGGAAGAGGATCTAAGGGAGCGGGTGGAAGTTGGACCCTGGAGGAGATCAGACAAATATGGGGGGATGGGGGGGGGGGGGGGGGGGGGGGGTTGTGGATGGCCTTGAATGTTAACAGAAGGATTTTGAATTGGATACGGAACTGGACCGGGAGCCAGTGAAGCTGCTGGAGAACAGGAGTGATGTGGTGGATGGAGGGGGTTCGAGTTATGATGCGGGCAGCTGAATTCTGGACCAGTTGAAGTTTATGAAGGGATTTGTGAGGGAGGCCGAAAAGGAGAGAGTTGCAGTAGTCCAAACGGGAAGTGACAAGACTGTGGACAAGAACGGCGGCAGTGTGTGGTGTACGGGAGGGATGGAGGCGATTAATGTTTCGTAGATGGAAGTAGGCAAACCGGCTAATGTTATTGATGTGGGACTGAAAAGATAATGTGCTGTCAAGGATGACACCCAGACTCCTAACCTGGGGGGAGGGTGAAACGGAGGAGTTATCAACAGTGAGAGAAAAACTGTCGGTTTTGGATAAAGTGGATTTAGTGCCAATGAGGAGAACCTCAGTTTTATCACTGTTTAATTTGAGGAAATTTTGGGTAAACCAGGTTTTTATTTCCGAGATACAGTCAATAAGGGAGGTGGGCGGGAGAGAGGACGAGGGTTTAGTCGAGAGGTAGAGCTGGGTGTCATCAGCATAACAGTGGAATTGAATGTTAAATTTGCGGAATATATTGCCCAGGGTAAGGAGATAAATGATGAAAAATAGGGGCCCCAGGACAGAGCCCTGGGGCACACCTGAAGTAACGATGGAGGGACTGGATTTGAAACACTTAAATTGGATAAACTGAGCGCGGCCAGAGAGGTAAGATGTGAACCAGTCTAACGTAGTATGGGTGATGCCGATGGAAGATAACCTGTTGAGGAGGGTGGTGTGACAGATGGTATCAAAGGCTGCACTCAAGTTATAATGTTATCTCCTCGACCCTAAACCGTCGTAATCAACCCAACACTTCCATATCCAATCAATGAATTCTAACAAAAACATAATTCACCTATTGTCTTAAATAGTATATTAACATTTCTTGTCACCAAGTTTACTTCACTATATTACAATTAAATCCTAAACTAATCATGACAAACTATATATCGTTGGAAAGGAATAGATATTTGACCACTGTTTTTTGTTACAAGTTATGTAGGTACAGTAATAGATTCATTTATGACAAGAGTGAACCCTTAAAAAATCTACATCATAACAGGAGACCTTTGTCACAAAAAGTCGATGGACACACTTTTAATTGAAACTTTGGTTTTCATGCTAAAGGTTCATAATAAAACATTTTCTAATATTTGTCCATAAAAACTATTAAATAATATTATCCTCTCAAAAGTATATTATATATTATCCTCTAAATATAAAAAATAATTAAAAAATTATATCTTTTTTATCTCCTTACTTTTTACATCACATATTTTAGTAATTATCATAAATTAGGTTTCATTCGAAAGCTTACGAACTCAAAATTCATCCTGTGAAACCCGTTTTGAAATAGGATGTGGCGTTACCATAGAAACGGTAATCTAAATTATTTTAGTGGGCTCCTCCCCTATTGGGCGTCATGTTACCTAATTTCATGTTACAAACAATATGTAAGTGCTGTGACTAGTCCCAATTAGTTAGTTTAGCAGAGTACACATAGCAACATTTTTTTGTTAAATAACAGATTTATAGAATAGTAAGTGTTGGTATTTATGGGTCATGTGTTGACAAAAAATGAACCTCATCTTCATTACACAAAACTAAAAGTAAGAGACTATAACAAATCATTGTTACTTATTTCTCATGCAGCTCAAAGCATTATGGGTAGAATCTCTCAACAATATGTTCTGATTCATCAACACAGTTTCACTGATGATCCAATAAAAGCATAAAACCCAGGATAGAGTGTGTGAGTGAATGTGGTCTGGACTGTGTGTATGAGGCTCATTGTGTCAGAGACGCAGTAGAAGGACAGAGTTCCTGCGCTGTGATCCACATACACTCCTATTCTACGGCTGGACACTACAGGGAGTTCAGTACGTATGTTATTGTGAATGAATAAGTTCTTGGAGGGAGAGCAGAACAAACTCCAGGACTGATCATTACATCCAAACCAACACTCATAACCCTTTCTGCTGATGCTCTTATATGACACTGATATATCCACACCAAACATCCCACTCCACTCAATCTCCCAGTAACAGCGTCCACACACACTCTCTCTACACAACACCTGCTGATTATACGCATCAAATCTGTCTGGATGATCAGGATACGGCTGCTCTGTGAGAGTACCAGTAATCACTCTGTTCCTCTCAGACAGACGGAGGAGTTTATTCACTGTGTTCAGATCCAGAGTGAACTGATGGGAATCTGATGGAGAGAAAACACATCAGAATCAGGAATTATGAATCTGTCTGATCTTTTATTATAGCTGATTATAGGTTTCTGTTTAGGCTATGAACTGGCTGGGTCGTCAGCTTTGACAAGAATGTGTAGCACACTGTTTTTAATGCAGTCAAATAACGCGGTGTTCTGCTTGTCTAGCACTAACAGCTGTCACTGTCATACTGGTACATATTATTAGTGTGTGTTTACACTTGGCATGTTTGGTTCGATTAAAATGATCCCTGGTGCGGTTGCTCTGTTAGTGCTGTGTTCATTTGAACGTGTGAACGCTGCCATCCAAACCCTAGTGCGCACCAAACAAGCGGACCGAGACCCATCTTTTCAGCGGTCTCGGTCCGCTTGTTTGGTGTATCTTGTGACATCATGTCCCGTTTTGGGGTCGTTTAGATGTCTAATGGTGTAACCAGTCCCTGGTGCAGTTCGACTGAAATATGAATGCAACACAGACCAAAGACATCTAAACGACCTAAAAATAAGACATGATGTCTCAAGATGCGATCCTAAAAAGGGTAGAATGCTCAAGCATACCTGTTTTTTTCTCGTCATAGTCGCGACGTTGCCCATCACAGTTCGGTACAGGCATCAGAGCCACATCTCCTCACAGCAGATCTTCGTTGAATGTGATGAAGGGTTTCCTGCCGCTGTTTTGACTCCTTTACACATTTTATAAGCTCTTCACAAGTTCTAATTTGGTCAAAATACCATCATATGCAGCTACGCACATAAAACTAGGGCATTTGAGTCCAGCACACAGCATTGTTTTGGATGTTCAGTAAGTTCCGTCGCAAAAATAAATGTAATAAAAGCCGACCAATCGGCTTGTGATGCCTTTAGGTTCGGTGTTAAAATGTCAATGTGAACGCTAAGCGGACCAGGACTGAATGTTTTTTTTTTGGTATGGACTAAACGAACCAAACGAACCGGACTACAAGTGTGAACACACCCTTAGATCACCTGTGTAGGTGGCTTATCTTCTGTCAACAGCTGTGCTCTTGTGATTTGCTAGTTATAAAATAAGTTGCATAACTTGTCTTAAGTTACAGTGGCTTGAAACATGCTATGCTGACCCACTTTCAGCTGAAAGATTATGAGGTCAATGCTGTGCCCTTTTTATAAGCACGACAACCCATCATCATTTGACTTGCTCAAACGCCATTGGCCAGTGTGTTGCATTGGTAACTTGTTCCCTTATCTCAGGGAACCAAAGTTACATGAGTAACAGGTGACGTTTTTGTTTTCTTAGTTGCTTACATTGTAGGAAGTCGTTTCTGGTCCTGGGATCCATGTTGCTGAATATGACTGTGGAAATCAACAGATATGAACATTGTAACTGTTATGTCAAAAGAAAATTAATTTACATTTTGTTTCAATAGTCCACTTTAGACTTTCTACTAACTAAAAGTAACTGCTACAACAAAGAAACTACATGTCAACTAACTCATTAATTTACAACTACATGTAAACTAGAATATTAGTAGACTGCTAGGTTAGGGTTAGTAGAATAAGTTGATGTACTTGCAAAGTTACTCAGTAGAATGTCTCTTCAAGATAAATTGTTAGCAGATGTTAGGCAGACAATCTACTAATACTCTGATGACTGGTAGTTGACATAGTTACATCATTTCTTATAGTCAGTAGAAAGTCACCGAAAATGATCCCTGGATTCATGATGAGGCCCAGATGAGGCCCATATATGTATGCTTTTGCCAGCCACTCTCAGGTTGAGTCATCGAATGTGGGAAATGTGGGCCACAACTGGGCCAGATGTCATTTGCTATCTGGGAAGACATTTCTAATATGATGTTCTATATGATAATAGATATAGTACTCATTTCTGAGAGCAGATGAATCTGTCAGAGATCTTTTTTAGCTGTGTTTCTCACTGAGTCTCCAGTCAAGCAGGATCTTGCCCGAAACCCACAATCCTGTTTTTCTAGATCTGTTACCTGCAGAAACTGGATGTGATCCTGTGTGTGTGAAAGCTGCTCCAGCTCAGCGTCTCTCCTCCTCAGATCATTGATCTCCTGCTCCAGTCGCTCCAGTCGTCCTTCAGCTCGACTCACTGCAGTCTTTTCCTGATCTCTGATCCGCTGTGTCGAATGAACTCTGTCCCTCTGTCCTCCACTGCTGTCTGTGCAGAGCGCTGTTAGGACACACATCACAATCAGCTCTTAGTGGCATTTCACACACACCGCCCATGAGCCACTAAACCATCATGTGGTCTGCTGGATCCAGGAAAAGTAGGGTGAGGTAGTTTAAAGGTAACTTATTCGGACTGTCAACAAATGGCTGTAGGTTCAAACTCAATCAGGGATGAATGATCAGTTACCACCGCTGTACATTAATAAACATAATCATAAGCATAAGACTTGTTTCAACTAGCACAGATGTTAGAGCTTCCACACCGACCGTGTTTCTGTTGTGTAACAGAAACACGGTCGGTGTGGAAGCTCTAAGAAAAGAAAATTAATTTACACTTTATTTCAATAGTCCACTTTAGACATTCTACTAACTAAAAGTAACTGCTACAACAAAGAAACTACATGTCAACTAACTCATTAATTTACAACTACATGTAAACTAGAATATTAGTTGCCTGTTAGGTTAGGGTTAGTAGAATAAATTGATGTACTTGCAAAGTTACTTACCTCAGCTAAAAAAAGCCTCCAAGAACAGCCACTATACCCCGTTAAATGCTAAATCTAAAAGGTATTTCTTAAGCTTTTGTTTAAAAACAGTTAAATTAGGTTTTCCAATCTAATAGAAAGAGGTAGGTCATTCCAGAGTCATTCCTCGATCTCCAAATCTCTGTTTTGTTCTTGGAGTCGTTAAAACCAGCTGGTCAGCTGACCTCAAAGACCGTTTTGGTTCATATTTCTTAATCATATTAGAACCATGGTATTTTTCAGCCACATAATGGAAACAGACAGCATTAGATAACGTCAAATGTATATGTGCATGGACCTGATTATTTACACAATGATGGTGACTAAACAAAGATATGGTCTTAATATCACCAATCACTATATATAACAAATGACTAAAAATAAACTACGATTAACAAATGACTAAAAGTTTCTGCTTTCCAAATGTGTTTGTTTTTTCAAGAATAATCTGAGCAACAAATTCAAACAATGATCTGTTCGGTATATCATCATTACTTCTAGGTTTTTCTATGTGTAGGCCCTATTTAAATGATTAAATTAAAATTACATTTATACTGCTATACCTGATGTCACTGATTTTTCTGTCCCATCTTTTAATTTTTGGTAAAAAGTAAAACAAACATGCAGACAAACCAATAAACATTAATACAGTTATGTAGGTGTTTGTCTTTGAATTAAGCAATCAGTTTTCAAAATTTCAAGCTAAAACCATTTTAAGCATACTTTTTCTAATTCACTAACAAAATGATTATACATTCAGTTTTTATGACCTCATATTAACCACGACATGGCTAATTTGTACTTTAAATAATTAATGTAACAGCACTATTTTGATTAATCTGAATGGTGATTAAAAATTGTGATAAACAAAATTAATGGTGAACTGTAAATATACACTTTCCCTTGTACATTCATGTACAATTAATGTTGAAAAAATGGACGCCACCTGTTAATATGAGTGGCAACATTAACATAATAAGAAATGAGCATGTTAGCAGTATTTCTCAGTGCCTAGATTTAAGTTCATACCTGTTTCTCTGTCCTCTGTATTGCAGCTGATACAGTATCGTGGTTACATCTTTATCCATCATCCAGAGAGAGTCACAAAAGCTCAAATACACTTAAGTTTCTCTTTCCCTGAACACAGGAGATTTGTGTTTCCTACACAACTACACTTAAGTTTCTCTTTCCCTGAACTCAGTAGATTTCTGTTTCCTTGTTCAGTGTTTAAGTGGCATGAGCAAAATGGGTGTGTGTGCAAAGTCACAAATGATAAAACATTGACTGAATGTAAGTCTCAGAAAGACACTCCAAGCATCTATCACTCAAAATAGGCCAAGCCAAAAATACTACTAAATGAAAACTGTTGGCTTATTAGCTATACTGCAAAAATGAAATATTTTTGAATATCCATGCAAGAACAGAATGTAACTGACTGACGGCGGTTTCTCTACTCTAAAATCCTACCACAAAGGTTGAATGTTTTCTCTGAAGGTGCACTCGTTGCCAGGATTCAAACAAAATACTGTGTTGACTGCAGAAAGTTTCGTTCACTTCAAATTCAAGCATGGATGCGTTGTTGTCAAAGGATTTAATATGCTCTCGTTCATAGAGATTTTTAGATGGATACTGAGGCTTTCTAGGTTGGGTAGAATCTGCCATCTCTGACCCAGTTTGTTTGCTGGCTGCAATACGCTGTGTTTCCTGCCAACTGGCATCCCGGGGTGTCCAAATACTATTGGTTGAAATGTTTAATTGTCCTTTTGCTAGCAAGCTAGATATCAGCCTGTTAGCATTGTTTGAAAATATCATTATTTGGTATTATTACCGAAATTTTGGTTATACCGAATGACCTACTGGTTGTACCAAATGACAGCAATGTATGTTGGTCCTTTTTGTACATATCTGGAATAAATAAATACAACATTTTATTTATAGGAAATGTGCAATTTACAACTACAACTAGGTCATGTGACCTGCCAGTGGCGGCTCCTGCCAGCCAGCTGAAGATTGAACCCCCACTCAAAATAAGCCAAATAATAACATTTTCAGATGTCATTTGTTATCAATACATTTATATATAATTATCTACCATTTGTTGAATATTTTGCTTTATCAAACAGTTTTCAGAATTTTTTTTTTAAAGTACTGTTTGTTTTAAAGTACTGTTTTATGCTACTGTTTTAAATTACTGTTATGCAGTTATGCTGGTCAGAGACTTTGCTCCTGACACATGTTTTGTGAAATATGTAAAAATGTGTTATTACTCAAAATTAAAAAATAAAACCTTGTTATGATAATGTAGTTTAAAGAATAGAGATGTTTTTTTTTATACAGTTAGCCTACTAATACACTTATATTTCAATAAATGAAAAATCCTCTAAATATATATCCGGCCCCTGATTTTATTTACAACCCTCAGCATGGCCCTTACTGAGTTTGAATTTGACACCCCTGTTGTATAGACACGGGGTTTGGCTCTTTTGTCATGCTAGCAAACATGACTTCCATAATGCGAAACATGCTAGCAGTGAATAGCTACATGCAAATAGTGATTAGTCCGGTGCAAAATCATGTTAAGAACATGCTAAGAACTCTATAAAAAACTCTATAGTAAGCATCTGTGACAACTACCAACCAACCTAGCAACACCATAGCAACCACCCAGAACACCCTAGTAACCACAAAGAAACACCCTAGCATCCAAGTGTCAAGTTTTGCCACTGCAAGCACCACTCACATTTTCTTCAGGAAATGTACATTCTAGTTATTAATTATTATTAGTAGTAGTAGTATTAGTATAGTCTTTTTGTTTTTAGATACCAGAGAAGAAAACACCTGCCAATTGATTAGCTTGGCCAAAAGGATCAAGAAAAAAGAAGGCGTATATGGATGAGGGCAAAACAGAGCCAGAGAGAGGTTGAGGACCATAAACAATATACTGAACCTGACCTCGGAGTCTTTAAATGTGACACCTGACATCCCAGTGGATAAGTTACCACAGGAACCACCTTTGGCATTAGAGAGAGAGAGAGAGCCTGCTCCTGATCCTTTACCTCCAGCGTTCTCATTTCCAAAGAGTGGACCACCACTGGCTACTCCACAGAGGGATCCACTCCCTCCCACCTTGCAAATGATTACAAGAGAAGTTGAGGACCATAAACAATATACTAAACCTGACCCCAAAGTCTTTAAATGTGACACCTGACATCTCATTGGATGAGGTACCACAGGAACCAACTTTGGCATTAGAGAGAGAGAGAGAGCCTGCTCCTGATCCTTTACCTCCAGTGCTCTCATTTCCAAAGAGTGGACCACCACTGGCTACCTCACAAAGGGATCCTCTCCCTCCCACCTTGCAAATGATTATAAGCGATTGCAAAGAAAAATTTGCAACTAAGAAATCAGACAGTAAAGAAACAACAAGACAGACAAAACAACAAGAAACAAAAGAAACAACTGGCAGTAGTGCACCACCCTTGTCTCTCACGGAGGACCCTCTCTCTGGTGGTGTGCTCATGAAGCCATTTCCCCTTTCTAGCCAAGCTAACATGGAACTATTTGATTATGCTAGGAATCAGGATCTCTGCAGAGAGTTTTCTCTACAGTAAGGGATGTAGTTAGAGCAAAGAGAAGCAGCCTGAAACCTGAACATGTGGATCACCTTGTGTTTTTGCCTAAGAACATAGAAATTCCAAGCATCAAGTAAAAAGGCTTAATTTTTTGAAGAATTACATTTTTCCACACAAACAACACTATATACTACCTTTTGTGATGCAGATTATTTTATTTGCATAAAAGGCATCCTTTTAAGACAGTGAATTTTCCTGTAATAGAGCTGCTACAGATAATTTTGTTTGTAATGTCTTTACAAATCTTTACTTTTGTTGTTGATTATATTTACAGTGCACTCTGCACAACAAAAAAGTGTTTTGTGTTCACGCATACTGCTGAGTAAATTGAAAAATAGCAGTTGTCGAGTAATTCGACATTATTTTGTCTGTAAATAAAAGAGAAAGCGTTTGTATTGCGTGGTATTTGGATTGAGCCCCTGCCCCTTTAATCGTGAAAGTGATAGTCCTCTTTTCAGTCGTATCGCGGTTGTCACAGTCACCAGCTCCATAACTCGCTGCACCTGCACTCCCTCATCAACCCACACTATAACTACCTGCATCCCCCTCACCTCAGGGTCTGGTCTCGTCTATGATATTATGATGTACATACTACCTACCAGAATCCCTACATGTGAATACTCACCTAGATCGTCACACCAGTATCCTGTCTTCCATCTGTCATCCAGTTCCAGTTCGCCAGTCATCTTAGCTCGTCACCATCTGCACAGAAACCCAACATCAGTCTACAGCCAGCTAAGTCCCCATCAACAATCTTCTGTCAACATCGCCTGGTATCCGCTGTTGTCTCTACCCACTGCTTATAA